AGGTGGCACCATGCATTTGGCCAATCACTTGGGTCACACACTTACGCCTTCTGAATCTGTTCGGGCATAGTTTTGTGTATACTGTTTCCAGTTTCAGTGGAATGCTGTTGTTTATGTCCAGTTTAATGATTTGTTGTATAGGCTATCTCCTCCTATAGTATGCCTCATACTTCTGTGGGCTGTATTGGGATCAGAGTCTTAGGGGTCTGCAGGCAATTAAGGTGGTATTGTTGGGTTTTGAGAATCAGCATCTCTCTGTGAGGCACTCTATTTGTTCTCACATAAATGCCTGAGGCTAGGTGTGGTGGCTCAGGCCGGTAATCCCAGCACTTTGGGAGGCCAAAAAGCTGGTGGATCACTGGAGGTCAGGAGTTCAAGACCAGCCTGACCAATATGGTGAAACCCCATCTCTACTAAAAATACAAAAATTAGCTGGGTGTGGTGGCATGCACCTGTAGTCCCAGCTATTCGGGAGGCTGAGACAGGATAATTGATTAAACCCGGGAGGCAGAGGTTACAGTGAGCCGAGATTGTGCCATTGTACTTCAGCCTGGGTGACAGAGCAAGACTCTGTCTCAAAAAAAAAAAAAAAAATGCCTGAGACTGGATGATTTATAAAGAAAAGAGGTATATTTGGCTCACGGTTCTGCTGTACAGTAAGCATAGTGGCTTCTTCTTTGGGGAGGCCTCAGGAAGCTTCCAATAATGGCAGAAGACAAAGGGGGAGCAAGGCACTTCACATGGCTGGATTAGGAGAAGAGAGAGGGTGGAGGTGCCACACACTTGAACAACTGGATCTCGTGAGAACTCATTCACTGTCTGAGAACAGCACCCAGGTGTTAAACCATTCATGAGAAACTGTCCCCGTGATCCAGTCACCTCTCACCAGGTCCCACCTACAACATTAGGGATTAGATTTCAACATGAGATTGGGCAGAGACAGATCCAAACCATATCAGGCACCATCCCAGGTGCATTCAGTAAAAGTTTTCTATTCAGGGTTTTGAGGTGATTGTGGTGGGGCCCCTCCAGGATAAGGGCTGGACACCAGAGGGCCCAACCACATGATTGGAGGATTAGGATTTTCAGCCCCACCCTCAAACCTCTGGAGAGGGGAGAGGGTTGGAGTTTAAGTTCAATCATGTGATCAGTAATCCAGTCCATCATGACTGTGTAATGAGGCCTTGATAAAAACTCTTGGACAATGAGGCTTAGGGAGGTTCTGGGTTGTGCTGTGTTGCAGGAAGTTAGGGACCCCGAACTGAGGGACTGGCTGGAGCCGCAGCAGAGGGACATCAATTGTGAAGATTTCATGGACATTTATCACTTCCCTAGTAATACTCATAATTTCTTACACCTGTCTTAATCTCTTAATCCTGTTATCGTGGTAAGCTGAGGATGTACGTCACCTCAGGTCCACTGTGATGACTGCATTAACTATAGAAATTGATTGTAAAACGTGTGTTTGAACAGTATGAAATCAGTGCACCTTGAAAACGAACAGAATAACAGCGATTTTAGGGAACAAGGGAAGACAACCATAAGGTCTGACTGCCTGTGGGGTCGGGCAAAACGAGCCCTATTTTTCTGCTTGCAGAGAGCCTATAAACGGACGTGCAAGTAGGAGAGAGATCCCTAAATTATTTTCCTAGCAAGGAATATTAAGACCCTAGGAAAATTATTGCATTCCTGGGGGAAGGTCTATCAATGGCCGCTCTGGGAGTGTGTGTCTTATGCGGTTGAGATAAGGACTGAAAATACGCCCTGGTTTCCTGCAGTACCCTCAGGCTTAGGGTGGGAAAAAAAAATGCTGCCTGGTAAATTTGAGGTCAGACTGGTTCTCTGCTCTCAAACCCCATTTTCTGTTGTTTAAGATGTTTATCAAGACAATACATGCACAGCTGAACATAGACTCTTACCAGTTTTTGGTTTTGCCCTTGGCCTTGTGATCTTTATTGGCCCCAGAAGCATGTGATCTTTGTTCTCCTTTTTGCCCTTTGAAGCATGTGATCTTTGTGACCTACTCCCTGTTCACACACCCCCTCCCCTTTTGAAGTCCTTAATAAAAACCTGCTGGTTTTGCGGCTCAGGTGGACATCACGGTCCTACCACTAAGTGATGTCACCCCCAGCAGCCCAGCTGTAAAATTCCTCTCTCTGTTCTATTTCTCAGACCAGCCGACCCTTAGGGAAAAATAGAAAGAACCTATGTTGAAATATTGGGGGTGGGTTCCCCCGATAATGCTGGGAGGGCAGCACGCCTGCAGTGGACACAGAAGTTCTGGGCCCCATACCTGTCCTGCTCACCTCTTCCATTTGGCTGTTCCTTTGTTGTACCCTGTATAATAAACTGGTAATCCCAAGAATAGTACTTTGTGTCATTCTAGCAAATTATTAAACCTACGGGGGTGGGGGTGAAAACCCCACAAACTTATAAATTGGCTGGGCAGAATTGCAGTAGCCTGGGAACACCACTTGTGGCTGATGTCTGAAGTGGAGACTGAGTCCTTAGCCTTTAGGGTCTGTGCTGACTCCAGGTAGTATCAGAATTGAACGACTTTAGGCCGGGCACTGTGGCTCACGCCTGTAATCCTAGCACTTTCGGAGGCCAGGATAGGATCACTTGAGCCCGGGAATTCGAGACCAGCCTGGGCAACAGGGAGACCCCCATCTCTACAAATATAATAAAATAAAAATTGAAGGACTTTGTCCTTAACTTGTGGAAACTCTGTCCATTCTGATTCTAGGTAGTGTCAGAATGGAACTGTAGGACAGGCAGCTGGTGTTAGAGAATGGTGTCGGAAAAGGAGACAAGCCTCCAGCAGGTCAGGGAGGTGGCAGCAGGCAGCATGAACAGGTACCTCAGGCTCCCATGCAGTTCTCCAGCTCTGCTGTCCCCCTGCATCTATTCATTCCTATTCTGCATATGAATTGCTTTTCTGCCCAACACTCAATTGCAGACTTCCCAAATTCCTAATTCATCATCACTTCTAACCAGAAAACTCTTCTGACAGTAAGTGTGGCTCTGAGCATGTGGCTGTGCGATGCCCTCATCTTACCCCAAACTCCTATCAGTCAGAAGTAGCTCGCTTAGTGGATGGTGGAAAGGCCTCCCGAAGGCTCAACTATGATGCCAGATTGGAGACAATACCGTCAATATGGAGTGCTATAACACAGGATGTGGTATGGGCTTTGACTGAACAATACCTAGTGCTACTTCTCCCACAGCCAGCATATGCTGGCTTGGAAACCTAAGGGCTGCAGATACGAATGGCCCCTCTTCCTGTTACGCCAGGTAACCCCAGAAGGAATTTTTGCTTCTCATCTTGTAACTCTGAACTCTGCTGTCCCAAGGGAGGGCTGCTTCTACCAGATACAAGGGTGATATTTTGAACTTTGAACTAGCAGTTGAGACTGCTGCCTAAGCCAGCACCCAGGGATGGGGTTACTGTACTAGCTGGTGCTACTGATCCAATTTTTGAGTGAAACTGGGTGGCTTATACACAAAACAGGAACATCTCTATCTGCAATCTAGCGTCTTCACTGGCACCGTTTGGTACTGAGGACTTTTGGCTCAGTGCAACCTCCACCTCCCAGGTTCAAGTGATTCTCCTGCCTCAGCCTCCCGAGTAGCTGGGATTATGGGAGCCCGCCACCACACCCAGCTGATTTTTGTTTTTTTAGTAGAGATGGGGTTTCGCCATGTTGGTTACACTGGTCTCAAACTCCTGACCTTGTGATCTGGCCGCCTCGACCTCCCAAAGTGCTGGGATTACAGGTGTGAGCCACCGCGCCCGGCTGACAGCTTCTTGGCTTCTTTAACCTAGAACAGGTTCCTCACATTCACATCCCATTGTCTCTTTGATGAAATGAGGGCAGTTAACTGTAGAATAGCCCATGTTCATCTTTTTCCTCATAGTTTCATTTATTTCTCCTTCAATAAACTGGAAGTTAGGGCAGGGCAAAGTATCTTGAGCCTGTATTCCCAGCACCTTGGGGGGCCAAGGCAGGAGGATCACTTGAAGCTAGGGGTTCAAGACCAGTGTGGGCAACAGAGTGAGACCCCATCTCTACTAAAAAAAAGAAAAAAATTAGCTGAATGTGGCAGTGTGTGCCTGTAGTCCTAGCTACTCGGGAGGCAGAGGCAGTAGGATTGCTTGAGCCAGGAGCGTGAGACCAGGCCGGGAAACAAAGTGAAACCTTGTCTCTAAAAGAAATACAAAAATTAGTGCCAGGCGTGGTGGTGCGCACCTATAGTCCCAACTACTTGGGAGGTTAAGCAGGAGGATCGTTTGGGCTCTTCGGTAGGTCAAGGCTGCAGTGAGTTGTGATTGCGCCACTGCACTCCAGCCTGGGTGACAGAGTGAGACCTTGTCTCTAAAAATAAAAAAATTATACCCACCTAGTACATTTTTGGGTAAAGGGTCCTTGGCTAGATATTACTGTCTAGTCTAAGCGAGTATGAATGAAACATAAAAAAGCACAGCCAGCCAGGCGTGGTGGCTCACGCCTGTAATCCCAGCACTTACTTTGGGAGGCCGAGGAGGATGGATCATTTGAGGTCAGGAATTCAAAACCAGCCTGGCCAACATGGTGAAACTGTCTCTACTAAAAATACAAAAATTAGCAGGGCATGGTGGTGGGTGCCTGTAATCCCAGCTACTCAGGAGGCTGAGGCAAGAGAGTTGCTTGAGCCCAGGAGGTGGAGGTTGCAGTGAGCCAAGATTGCACCACTGCACTCCAGCCTGGGTGACAGAGCCAGACTCCAGTCTCAAAAAAAAAGCATGGCATGGCCATGAGAGGTGGATACATAGTGGCAGCATCTTTAAAAAAATAAGAAACCAATTAAGAGTAAACAACAGTCAAGTGGCTATTCAAGAATGCTTTGAGTTCCACTGAAACTTTTTGACTTCCATGAGTTTGACATAAACTCTCTGCTCAATTTTTTAGTCAGTCAGAAGGGCAAACTGATAAAATGGATAAAATGGAAAAAACAAGGGCTATTCACAAACAAAACAGTGATTACATTTTATTCCTTTTTGAGTTGTTTTGTTTTTATTTTTAAATGAAGTTTCCATCTGTGCACGTTAAGAAAATAAACAAAACAACAGGAAGCCATTCTCTGTGTATCCTTCTTGGAGGCAGGAAGGATGGATCTGCCGATAGGCACACAACAGCACACAGCCAGGGCTCATGGGAGTGAGTACCTGTCACCTCACGAAAGTCACGGGCCTAAAACATACAGAGGCTCCATAGAAAATGCTCCATCTGGCTTTGCAGTCATGCATAAAGGTGAGGACACTAAATTGAAGGCATCTGGGGGCTGGTGTCACCGCACGTGAAGAGTAGTGCCCATGCTGTCCCACGAGCTTCCTTGGGAAAAGGGAAAAACAAATCTTTTCCTCAAATAGAATTGTCGCAGGTAAGAGCCATGGCATTTTATTCACTGTTTAATCTTCTGGTGGCAGGATTTCTTTGAAGGAGAATCTGCATATAAATAAAAATGAGGCAGCAAATTGGTTACAAGGCTTCACAGATTTTTTGAAAAAGAATTTAACAATTTTGAAACACTATCACTGAATTCATGTAAATTTTGGTAAAAATATGAATTATAAAATACAGTGGTTTAAATTATGACATTTAAGAAACACTGAACAAATTATATCCTGGTCGAAATGTAACCTTTACGTTCGCTATCAATGTAAGAGAAAGAACAAAGAAGTCCAGACGGTGATTAAGTCAAACTGACCCCAGCACGTATCGCTGAGTACATCGGCTTAGACTTCTGTGAGAATCTTCACTTATAACCTCTATGCTAATACTATTAGTGACACTGATTGTTCAGACTGAAACTTTAGTTACTAAGCTGAATACCAGCCATCTTTTGACAGACCCTACCTTTCCAGGGTACAGTGATAACCAGCTTAATAAATACTCGGCGAGGACTTGCATTACCTGGTAGAGCCCCTCCCAGTCTTTGCTGGATCACTTCTAAATGGTGAATATACTCTGTCAAGGAATGTTCTGGATCTTGAGAAGCAGTCAGGGATCTTTCTAATCTTGAATTTGGGGATGGAGTGGCTCTTCAAACCAATTAGCACACCAAGAGAAGAAAAAAAAAAAGTTGAGTTTGACAGACGGAGCTAGGGTGAGTGAGTGCAGAAGGCACCAGCCCCACCAACCAGACCCATGGGAATGGGTGACTTCAGGGCCGTCTCCTTCAGATCCTTCCTTATAAAAAGTGTCACAGAGTGCTTTAACGGCTTCTGTGCAATGTTCCAGAGTTGAGTAAAGATTACTGTATATTACTTTGTTTGCTAAATCTTTGATAATGTATCTGTTACCCAACCTGGATTCTGCACCAGGTCTCACCTGCCTTTCCTGATCTTCCCAAACTGTTTGTCAGGGTGATACCTGCCCTGCTCAGTCCTCACCTCAGCCGTCCTTCCTCCTAGCCTTCCACCAGGCCCAGGGAGCACCAGGGGTATCCCTTTTCCCTCCGCCCAGAGCTTCCAAGTATCTTCAGGGCAGGCAACATGCCTTCTTCACCTGGGCACATCCCTCACAAAAGGGGCCCTCGGCCACCATTTACTCTTTCAGTAAAGATCGCAGGACCGGGCTCTGGGGCACCACAGCCACCAGAGAAGCAGGCCCTCCCCCAAAATGGGGCTGGACTTCTAGGCCCTCATGGACTCATGCTGGAGAGTTTCCTGCCTTGCTCTGGGCTGGGCCGAAGCCAGAACTAAAAATGCATTTCTCTGAGGCCCTATGTCGGCTGGAAGGAGAGCCCTGGCAGGAGACAGGGCCTGAAGGCGTCACACTGACCTTCCCCCAGTGTGTGGGGAGGCTGCTGCTGCCAGTCCGTGGCCTCTGGCGGGGTCCCTGGTGTGGCCTGAGGGCACATCCCGGGTTGGGGGGGACTCTCTGGTTCTGGGTGGAGACTGCGGCCGTCGTACTCGGGGCCCTTCCCCAGAATCATTTAACAACAAAGGGATTAGGAAAAGAAATGAATGCATTTTAGTAAAGGCCCATCTATCAAAATTTTAAATGTATAAGCTTTTAAGAGTCTGTATGGCAATTTTAAGACATTTTTAAAGTACTCAAGTTACAGTATCTTTTTAAAAGCTCTGGAAGAAACCTGAGCTTTTGATTATCCGCATCCGCAGGAGCAGCCCATCTCCGGGGGGGGGTCTCAAGACCTGGGTGAGGGTCTCGCCTCTATCAGCTCTGAGGAGCTGGCTCAGGAGGGAGGGGCAGGAACCCTGGAGACCACCAGGTATGACTCAGAAGGGCAAACTTTCCTGATGGCTGAATCAAAGTATTTTAATTTCAAGAAGCAACTATTAAAATGTGGAGTCGACGCTGACACAGCTGCCAGGCACAGTGCTCACGCCTATAGTCCCAGGTACTGGGGAGGCTGACGCAGGAGGATGGCTTGAGCCCAGGAGGTCAAGGCTGCAGTGAGCTGTGACTGTGCCACTGCACTCGAGCCTGGATGATACAGCAAGTCCCTGTCTCTACGAACAACAACTTGGTAAGGCACTTCCAGGAATGCTCAGTTACGGTGCTGGTCAGCAGTGGCTCAGGCAGCCTAAGCCCCACAGGCCCGGAGCCACAGGCCCATCCCCTGCCACTCTGGGACAAGAGCCCCTGGAAATGCCCTGCTTTGGGGCCGGCTCCTTCAGTGCTAAGTGCAGCCAGCTGTGCTCTCTGCTATGGGGGGCAATGGCACGGCAGAGAACTCCTGAGACAAAGATGTGAGTGAGCCAGAAATAAGCATGATGCTCTACAAGGAAAGAGACGTGAAGTGAGTTTCAGTTGATTTGGGGAATAAAAAAGACCATTTTGCTAAACACTATTAAAGAATCAATATAGTGAGCATCTCAGCATTTCCCATCACCATATGCCCCTGTGAACTGTGCTCATAGCTAACGTGAGCTCTGACCTCCCTGTGCTGGGCGCACCCTCCCTCTGAACGACTGCCCTGACGGAATTCACGGATTTTCTTACTGTGCTTTATTACATCCCCATCAACACTGAAAAATGACCCAAAAGTGAATGAAAAAGCTACAAACAGTAGGAAGAAAAGTTTGTGAGTCCAGCGGCCAACGGCAGCGGGAGTCCCACCTGCGCGAGGGACTTTGCCTTGTGCCAGAGCTCCTTTCCGATCTACTTCTTGCCATTTCTTAACCAAAAAACGTAATCTACAAAAAAAGGAGACAAGACACACTTAAAAGTATGGCAAAACAGGAAGGGAAAGAGCAATGAAAACCCCACTGTGATCAAACAAGCAGAATGGGGCCTCGACGTCAAGGTTGGCCAGTCTGTTGACTTGGGCCCTGCACGCCGGGTGCACACATCCAAAGTGCTTGCAGGGCTGCTGGCGGCAGGACCTTCCCACGCCGGACCACCTGACGAAGCCTCACTGCAGCCCCACCATGGACCATCCGGCTCCCCAGACACCCGCGTGGCCCAGCTCAGGACGACTCCAGTTCAAAGTCAGCAGCCACACCAGTGACTAGGAAACACACACTGCTCCGGCCCGGTGTGCAGGACCTTCGCGTCTTCATCCTGTCACACATGCCAGCGGACAGGCTCAGCACACGGACACCCCAGCCCTCGCAGGAGTCCGTCAGATGGTAAGCACGCAGGGTGCAGGTGACGAGGGCATGCAGGTCAGGGTGCACGGCCCCAGACGTCCTGCTAGGATGGCCTTCGGGACAAGCATCATGCCTGCGGCTTCCCTCCTTTGCGGCACGGCAGACACTGCCGATTCCTCCATGAGACCCGTGAAGGCCCCTTGGTGGCAGCTACCCTAGGCAGTGCTCTCACAGGTACACAGAGACTGCTCCTGTCTGGGACACTGCTGCCTTCAAATGATCCCTCCTCGACAGGAAGACCCTGGAGGTAGGATTTGGGTCCGCTTACCTCCCCCATCTAGTGCCTAAAATGCTTCTTCATGCAGGGTGTTCTCCCCACGACCGCAGGATGGACAGATGGGTGGATGAAAGGATGGACAGTGAAGGCCTACGGTCAGAGGAGCTCAGAGCCGAGGAGACAAAAGTGCCCCAGGACCAGAGAAGCTGAGAGCACAGCACCCCAGGAGGCCTCGCCTGCACCCCACTTCAGCCCAGCCCGCAGCTGCGATGACTGAACTTCTTGGCGCCTGGTCTCTGAAAGGAACAGGACTCCTAGCTACTCTCTGCTGCATCTGCTCCTCCAGACAGGCCTGTGTGTGGCCTCAGGGAACACTGTGGCGTCAGGGAGCAGGCACAGCCACACGGTGTTTAGGCGGAAAAGCAGTTTTCGAAATTCAGCACATTCTAAAACTATGAAATGGAAAAAACTGTGGCACGAAACCCACTAAAAGTCAAGATGTTCCTCTGTAATACAAAGGTGCCCTTAAATCTTTAGTTTCAGAAGGTGACAGCTTCATACACATGACTTCTTGAAGACAAGTTCATCATCTGTATCTTCTCTAAGGCCTCAAATGCCATTCATCTTTAAAAAGAGAACATATCATAGAGTTTCAAGGAATAAAATCACCAAAAAACCATGCAGTGTGCTGCCCATTCACGGGGACAGACGCGGACATGCTGATTGGATGTCACGGCATTTACCTCAATACGGCAACCACCACCCTGACGGCCGTGCGGAACCGTGTGAAAGGGCGAGATGTGGTTTTCCGCTCCGCTTTGGAAGGAAATACCCCCAAATGGGCAATCATGGAGAGTGTTTCTTGTTCAGAATCCTGGAATCCACCAATCAACAGCAAAAGATACTTCTTTTGATAAATCAGAGCTTTTCTAAAGCTCTCTGCTCTCAAATAATGCAGGTACAATTTTTCCATCTAAAAGAAAAAAACAGATTTTACCATAGGAAACGACGCCTGTCTTGCTGACAAAGCACATTTACACCATCGCTCTCTCCAAAGAGCCAGATTGTTTTTTCTCAGCAAATCACAGAGGCCATCGGCCTTGCAACAGTATCTGTGGCCAGAAACAACGTTGCTGTTCTGCTCAAAGACCAGTCTGTGTTTGTCAGACAAGATCTAGAACCACAAGCTTCTCTCCACAGCATCATCAAATGAGCCCCTATGAAGGCTTCTTGAATTTAACCTCTTCGGTAAGGTCCAAATTGGGCATGGGATGGACGTCACAGGGTGGGGGCTGTGTGCCACCAGGAGACTGCAGCAGAGCTTGGGCCAAATCCCGGCAAGTCCCTGGGCCAGGCCTCCCTCAGGCTGCAGAGGCTGCCATTTGCTGACTTGGTCAAAGCCTTCCACGTTCCACACTTAACAAGCACAGAAACTCAGTACGTGTGCACAACTAAACCAAAATTCAAGCTGAAGTTTATTCTGTGAACTTCCTTTCCTTTAGTGATGTGATTGCTACACCCGGCAGACGAGAACCTTGTGGTCCCCAAAATACTTTGCCTGCAATTTACAAACCCAGGACTTAAAAAAGCACCAAAGTTCTATACTCATGACACTGTTCCTACCTTGACGTTGCTGGGGTGTGCTTCCTCGCTGGCAGCCGGTGGAAGCCGGCCAGGGTCTGGGCGCCTCAGGGAACTCTGTGGAGCCGTTTCGTCTGGCTTCCAAGCAGCCCTTTCCGACTTCTGTAAGGAAGCACAGCCCACACTGTCTACAGAGCTGCTCGTCAACAAGAGCATCTTAGAGAGGCAGCCGGGGGCAGGTTAGGGAGAATGCCGTGTGCAGGGAGGCCAGGCTGACCACACCACGCCTGGGCCCTCCTCATCTTCAGCACCCCCTCAGCAGGGCCTGGGTTACGCCGTGCTGCGATCAGTCAAAGAATTAACATGGCGTAATTACGACATGCCACTTGCTGAAGTATGACTGCAAAAAAGGTCCATTTTAGTAGAAACAGAAAACTAATTATTTGTAAAATCACCCCAAATTCAAAGCTTTAAGCCTTAAACACTCTCATATTCTCTGGTCCTAGAAATGCCAGCCACTGATAACTACAAACACAGTCAGCTCTCGACAGCTGTGGGATCCGCATCCATGGATTCAACCAACTGTGGGTGAAAAATATTCAGAAAAAAAGATGTGTCTGCACCAAACACATACACTTCTTTTCTTGCCCCTACACCCTAAACAATACAGGATAACAACTATTCACAACAACTGTTTACATGGCCTGGCCTCTTGTGGGGTGGAGCTGCTCTGGACCATGGCGGGTTAGGCTGAGGCCGGTGAGAGTTAAGCACACCGAATCAAGTGCTGCAGGTGATCTTAGAGATGACTTAAGAGCATACAGGAGGACGTGCACAGATTGCTGCTAACACCACTTCAGGCCAGGAGGATCCCTGAGCCTGGGAGGTCAAGGCTGCAGTGAGCTGTGACTGCTCCACTGCACTCCAGCCTGGGAGATAGAGCAAGGCCCTGTCTCAGAAAAAACCCAAAAAGTGAAAGAAGCCAGCTGAAGAGGCCCCAGATGCTCTGGTTCCACTGACACACCTTTCTAGGAAAGAGCCAGGGCCTGCGGCAGGCGGGGGTGCCTGCTGCTCTTTTGAGGGGGCCATTGCTGTGTGTTCTGTGAATGGTGGTTACTTATGAAGGTTACAGGGATGTGTGCGTGTGTGAACTTGTATGACACTACACCAGGAAAGGGCAAATTTTACTGTATGTAAATTTAAAAATAATTTTTTAAAAAGTTATAAAAAAGCAAATCACAAACAAAACAGCCTAAATACAAAAGAAAAAAATCAGGCATTCCAGAAAATAACTCTATCCAACTATACCATTAGGAAAATTGCAAGTCACTTTATGCCGGGCACGGTGGCTCATGTCTGTAATCCCAGCACTTTGGGAGGCCGAGGCGGGCAGAATCACCTGAGGTCTGGATTTTGAGACCAGCCTTGCCAACATGGCAAAACCCCATCTCTACTAAAAATATAAAAATTAGCCATGTGTGGTGGCAGGCACTTGTAATCTCAGCTACTAGGGAGGCTGACGCAGGAGAACTGCTTGAACCTGGGAGGTGGAGGTTGCGGTGAGCCAAGATCACGCCACTGCACTCTAGCCTGGCAACAGAGCAAGACTCCGCCTCAAAAAAAAAAAAAATTATAAGTCACTTTAAATAAAACTCTAAATTCAATCAGATTATAATATTTTTAGTCAAAATACTCTTTTATGAACATGCACCAAACATCCAGTAGTGGTCAGGGTCAGTGAGGACACTGTCTGTGGTGAAGCTGGAAGCCGGCTGAGATGGTCAAACATCCCACAACATTTAGCAAGGCTTCAGACAGAGGCAACGGAGCCCGGCAGTGAGGGAGACACTGACGCCCACATCCCCAGTTCCCTAAACGGAGCCTAGCCTCTTGTGGGGTGGAACTGCTCTGGACCATGGCGGGTTAGGGTGAGGCAGGCGAGAGTTAAGCACAGACACCTACGCTCGGGCTGCAGCCTTTCTGCAGATGGTGCTTCAGCATCTTCTCAAGCTTAGACACGGCCCTGCTCAGCTCCAGCTTCTCCCGGGTCACCGTGCTGAGGGCTTTCGTGAGGGAAACATTGTCTTTCAGCAGGACGTCCACAAACTGGAGTTGCAGCTCTGCTGCCATTTTTTTCTTGGAGAAAAAAAAATAAATTCGTAAGAATTTGTTGTTAAAGGGCATGCACATTATTTGTGTTTTTTTGTCAACAGTTATTTCTAGGGATTGTAATTAATGTGTCTGGGGTTCAATAAGAAGCTTGTGGGGCTGGCAGAAAATTGTAGAAGTCCTAGAATCATAGACTGCACAAAGCTGGCCTGTATGAACAATGCAGGCCTGTCACAAAGCACGGCCCGTTTGGTTGTTCTCACAGCACTGTAATTGACAGGTGGCTGGATCGCTGTTAGTTCATCCCAAGGGGGCGGATGTGAAGCCCCTCAAAACAGGTTTCTTACTTCTCCCATCAAAAGGACGTTCAGCCTACGGAGGGTGGGCACACTGGAAGGTCACCAGGGCCCAACACAGGGGCAGGGTGCACACCACCCACAACGACGCTCGGCTGGCGGGGCTGGAGGGTAAGTGGTGCAGCTCCCCTGCACCTCACATGCATGGGTTCCATGATAAAAGTCATGATTTCATAAACGCCACAGAACCCGCATCAGGAACTGATACCAGCAGCCAGATTCCCACCTCCTTCAGAGGCAGCTTACGGTGAGCTCAGACTTTCCAAGGAGGACTTGGGTTTTTGTTTCTAGCAAAGGCCATCAACACAAACCCAAAGCCAGCAGGTGGGGCCAGGTGGAGGTGAACATCAGCCCAGCACCGGAGCAGAACCACAGCCCCCCCTGACTGCAGCCGGCGGTGTGTTCAGGTCATGCACAGTGAGCAGCACTGGGGGGCGTCCACACAGTCACGCAGCATTCCATGGGCAGCAGGGTTCACCCCCGAAGACCACACAAGTGCCCCAGGACATGGAGGACATCCGTCCCCACTCGGCCCACAGGGTCGACCCCACCCACTCACCCAGATAGCAACCATGAATTTAGAGAAGACAGCAAGGGAGGAAGAACAACTGGGCGGCATGAAAAAGAAACCACAAAGCTGCCGAGAGGGCCCCTCTGCGGGAGGAGCCGGGGCAGGGACCTGGGGGTGCTCACCCCTTACCTGGGAGGAGGTGGGCCTGCTCAAGTCAGACTTCAGCTCCTCCAACGTGTGCAGTAACGACACCACTGCTTTCTCATTGGATGACGTCCAATCGTTAACTGTCCTGTAAAAACAAATGGGCACTTAAAGGTTCATATGCACACCAAGTGACCATTATCCAAAACTAAACAAGAACTCTTGGCTCAAGAGAAACAAGGAGAAGACAGGTTCCTGAAGAGCCTGTGTGTCAATCACTTCGTCCATGAGGCAAAGCCAGAGGCCCGGGGTGAACAGGCCTGTGGGTGGACACTTCTGCAGAGCTCAGAAACCTCCAGCCGGGAGACTCGCCACTGAGTACGGGAAGCCGCCGCCTGCCAGGCCCCGCGGCTTTCCTCTGGAATTAATGATTTAAAATGCTGTCCTAAGGGAAATCATGCTGCTCTATACATTAAGTCCAAGTATAGAAAGGAGAACTGTATTTGCTGAGTTTCTGTGTATAGGGAAAAAGACGAACATTAGCATTACTCTTTCTGCCCATATGAAATATCACGATCGTCATCCTGGGTGTGAGTGGCCTTGAGTGACACTGGGCAGCGCCAGCCGGGGGGGGCACAGGAGGCTCCAAACCCGACCCTGTGGGTTGTGAGCAACTGCACAGTGTAAAGAGAACCAAGCCAACCCTCAAAGAAACATGGACGCCCCACACCAGGCGTAGTTTGAATCACAGAATTTTTTCTCTAACGTTAGAATATGAACATGCCATCCTGCCAATCTGGAATCCCTCAGGAAAGTCCCAGGAAGAGGACTACAGCGTTAAGTATAAAGAAGCAGGGGCCTCACACCAGACGCACCCAAGCCCTCGGGAGGGGTCTCTGACAGAGGCGTGGCTGCAAGGGACCAGCAAGCACCAAGTGGCGCAGGTGCACACCTGTCCATGGCCTGGCTGGCGAAGCTGGTGAGAAGCCCGGCAGCACAGAGCAGCCGCTGCCTCATCGCCTCCAGCTCTCGTTGCTGTTCTCGGAGGTGGTCAGCATCCAAGCCAGCAGTCCTGCGGGCAGAACCCAGGTGGAGGCGGCTGCCAGGCACCTCGTCCTTCGACTCCAGGTCTCTCACCGTCTGCTGAAGCTGCTTGATCTTATGCAAGTCACGCTGACGCTGCAGTTCTAATTCTCGCTGTTGTTAGCAGAAAAAAGATAGAGAAGACGTTCACGTCAGTGTCCAAAAACAAAACTGCTGGCCAGGTACGGTGGCTCACACCTGTAATCCCAGCACTTTGGGAGGCCGAGGCAGGCGGATCACGAGGTCAGGAGATCGAGACCATCCTGGCTAACACAGTGAAACCCCGTCTCTACTAAAAATACAAAAAATTAGCTGGGCGTGGCGGTGGGCGCCTATAGTCCCAGCTACTTGGGAGGCTGAGGCAGGAGAATGGCGTGAACCCGGGAGGCGGAGCTTGCAGTGAGCCAAGATCGCACCACTGCACTCCAGCCTGGGCAACAGAGCGAGACTCTGTCTCAAAACAAAAAAAAACAAAAAACAAAACAAAACAAAAAAACTGCCGGCGGGGCATGGTGGCTCATGCCTGTAATCCCAGCACTTTGGGAGGCTGTGGCGAGTAGATCACCTGAGGTCAGGAGTTTGAGACCAGGCTGGCCAACATGGGGAAACTCCATCTCTACTAAAAATATAAAAATTAGCCAGGCGTGCTGGCGTGCACCTGTAAACCTGGCTACTCGGGAGGCTGAGGCAGGAGAATCGCTTGAACCTGGAAGGTAGAGGTTACAGTGAGCCGAGATTGCACCACTGCACTCCAGCCTGGCAACAGAGTGAGACTCCGGCTCCAAAAAAAAAAACCTGCCAGGCAAAAGCCCAAAACACACAGCCGCTCCGGGCGCGGTGGCTCACACCTGTAATCCCAGCACTTTGGGAGGCAGAGGTGGGCGGATCACGAGGTCAGGAGATCGAGACCATCCTGGCTAACATGGTGAAATCCCGTCTCTACTAAAAGTACAAAAAATTAGCCGGGTGTGGTGGTGTGCGTCTGTAGTCCCAGCTACTCGGGAGGCTGAGGCAGGAGAATGGCGGGAACCCAGGAGGCGGAGCTTGCGGAGCCGAGGTCGCGCCACTGCACTCCAGCCTGGGCGACAAAGTGAGACTCCATCTCAAAAAAAAACACACACACAGCCGCGTTACAGGGGAGGCCCCTCACAGGCCAGAAACAGGCCCTCGGGCAGGCGGCCTCTGTGGTCCTGCACTGGGACCTAATGCACTGCACACCCTCGTGCTGTGCTGCTCTGTGTGCCTCCAGCACGGAGGCAGCTGAATCACGCCCCAGAGTGATTCAGTGGTAAGCGTTTTCACTGTAGTTTTTAAAACTATCAGGCTTTCCTCAGGCCCAGGGCAAGCACGCGGGGTCCAAAGGAGAGGAGCCTGAGAAGCTGAACCAGACAGGATGACGCTTCCCGGTCCCCTGGCCCCAAACATGCCCACGTCCAGACGTTCAGACCAACACAGACACGGACAGGCACATTTGTGCATGTGAACGTGCACACACGCATGAGCCTGAGTGCAGCGCTGGGGCTGAGCCTGGGTGGCCACGTGGGTCTGGGCTCCTAAGCCAGACCTCAAGGAGCAGCAGCCTTCCCTTCTGCAGGATGGGGGCACGGGCCATGTCCGGTGGCCGGGGGAAGCATGTCAGCAAGCGCCTGAGCCCCTGCCCAGAGCACAACTCCCGCCAGCCACAGGAGAGAAGGTCTATTGCACGATGGGGCAAGGAGGGATGAAGCAGCCTTGGAAGGGCCTCGGATTCCCAGTGGCGCCACTGGGGCTTCCTTGTGACAAAATACAGACAGACCCGGCGGGAAGAGGCCCCAGATGCACACACAGAGGCGGTCGCCGTGTCAGGGAGGGAACCCCAGCCCAGAGGACCCACAGCTGAGCCTGCGCTGTGTGGCACCAGCGTCCCTGCCACCGCGGTGACCAGGATGCAGCTCAAGACTCAACCCTCCTGACAGCGTCTCACTCGACGCTCGGGCCTCTTAAACAGGAATGATTATCTTTTCTATTTTCTAGTAAGGAAAGTAAGATACAGAGAAACTAATGAGATTATATCATTTAGAAAAGATGGAATTGTCTCTGGCATGCCACTATCTTGGGAGGCTTCCACGGCTACAGCTAGAGAAGGATTCTATAATCCAGATCAAATTCACTATCCTCAGTAAAAATCACTCTGGAGGCAGGGCATGGTGGCTCACGCCTGTAATCCCAGAACTTTGGCAGGCTGAGGTGGGCGGATCGCGAAGTCAGGAGTTCAAGACCAGCCTGACCAACATGGGGAAACCCCGTCTCTATTAAAAATACAAAAATTAGCAGGGCGTGGCGGCGGGCCCCTGTAATCCCAGCTACTCAGGAGGCTGAGGCAGGAGAATCACTTGAACTCGGGAGGTGGAGGTTCCAGTGAGCTGAGATCGTGCCATTGCACTCCAGCCTGGAAGACAGAGCAAGACTCTGCCTCAAAACAAACAAACAAACAAACAAACGAAGAAAACCCACAAATACTCTGGAAGGGCCACTTCACTCAAAATACAGGTCAAGGTGCATCCTAAAGGCAAGTTACTAATGCAACTTAGAAAACATTTTCTAAGCACTCGTGTTACTATTCTTTTTAATAAATAATCAAAATTAAATTAAAAGTTTTGGCTGGAAACTTCAGGCGTGGTTTCAGAAAGTTCTCAAAAAGTAAAGACTCCTTTGAGCATTTCATGAAAGGTAGAGCCCTTGCCCAGGAGAAAGGCAAACACACACACGCCACCTCACCCTCAGCCGGGTCCTGTGTAGACGCCCCTGCCACGCTCAGCCGCACTGTCTGCGGCACCAAACCACCTCCCCGCCCTCCGCACCGTCTGCGGCACCAAACCACCTCCCCGCTCTCCGCACTGACTGCGGCACCAAACCACCTCCCCGCTCTCCAAGGCTTCTGGACGTAAGAAACGACGACTACTCTGAAGAGTTTCTTTTTATTTGAGATGGAGTCTTCTCTTGTTGCCCAGGCTGGGTGCAGTGGCGCAATCCCAGCTCACTGCAACCTCCACCTTTCGGATTCAAGTAATTCTCCTGCCTCAGCCTCCCGAATAGCGGGGATTACAGGTACACACTATCATGCCTAGCTAATTTTTTGTATTTTTAGTAGAAATAGGCTTTTGCCATGTTGGCCAGGCTGGTCTCGAACTCCTGACCTCAAGTAATCCGCCCACCTCGGCCCCCCAAAGTGCTGGGATTACAGGCGTGGGCCACCGCGCCCGGCCTGCTGTCATCACTTCTATTCAACATTGTTGAGTTTGTTACACTGCAATCCAGCCTGAGTGACAGAATGAGACTCGGCCTCAAAAAATAAGTAAATAAATTTAACAAAAGTATAAAACTCATATTTTGAAAGCAATGAAACACTACTGAAATAACCTAAACAAGACCTACGTAAACAGCTGAGTGCGGCGGCTCACGCCTGTAATCCCAGCAGCTTGAGAGGCCGGGGTGGGCGGATCACCCAAGGTCAGCAGTTTGAGACCAGCCTGGCCAACATGGAAAACCCTGTCTCTGTTAAAAATCCAAAAATTAGCCAGGCATGGTGGTGTGCGCCTGCAGTCCCAGCGACATGGGAGGCTGAGGCAGAAGAATCGCTTGAACCCAGGAGGTGGCGACTGCAGTGAGCTGAGATCACACCAGTGCACTCCAGCCTGGGTGACAGAGCCAGACCCCATCTCAAAAAAAAAAAAAAAACCTAATTAAATGGAGAGACATCTTCTGTAGCCCTGGATCAGAAGACCTCATACTGTCCAGATGTCAATACTATCCAGAGCAATCAGCTCATTTAACACAGTCCCTAAGAAAGTCCCAGTGGCAGGTTCTGCAGAGACACAAACAGCACTCCTCAGATTCCTGTGGAACAGCAAGAAGCCCCACGGAGCTGAAACTATCCTGAAAGGGAAGAACGAAGTTGGAGGAATCACTTCCTGATTTCAATACTTCCCAGAAAGCTACAGTGACAGCAGTGTGGTGCCAGCGTCGGGGCACACAGGCCAGGGCAGACCAGATCAGAGGACCAGACATCCACCTCACGTCCCCCACGTGAACCATCCTAACTCCAATTGCTTATCGTTTCTAGATGCGGACGCCCCGCCGGCAGGCGGCTCTCACCAGCTTCTCCTTGTCTCTCTGCCACTTCCTCCACCGCTCCGCAGCCGCTGGGCTCTGCCCGGCCTCCGCGCTCCTCCTCGCAGCCTTGCGTCCTTCTTGCTCTTTCAACCGTGGGTGTGACTGCTCTAATTCTGCCTGCAACCACGCTGGCTTCTCCCTCTCTCTCTCCAGAGAGCATCTCAGCTCTCGTTTTTGGGTGTGCAGGGCTTCCACCGTCGACTTCAGGGTGGCACTTACCTCCTTCTCTCTCCTGAGCGCCTCACAGTGCTCCTGAGCCTCAGCTTCAAGCTGCTGCTGAGAACGCAGGGCTTGCTGCTGCACCTTCTCAAGCATCGCCTGCAAGTCCGCCACCCGGGACTTCTCGTCCTTCAGCTTCCGCAGCAGAGCGTGATGGGCCTGTGCGTCCTGGTGCACACAAGCCTCCTGTGTCCTCTGGCTCAGCTGCTCAGTCAGGAGCCGCTCGTGCCGCAAGGCCTCCGACAGCTCCAGGGTGCGGCTCTTCTCAGCCGCAAGGTCCTTCTGGAGCTCCGAGAGCTGGCCCCGCTCCTGAGCCAGCAAAGCCTCGCAGCGTGAGTGCTCAATGCGCAGCTCCTTCTGCAGGTTGTCCTTGGCCGTCTGCTCGTGTTTCAGTGCCACACAGAGTCGACTGCTCTGAGCACGCTGTGTCTCCAGAGACGCCCGCAGCTCCTAGACAGCAAACACACACGACGGAAGACACCGAATCAAGCGGGAAAGCGTCTACATGGTTTTCCTGTCCACGTTTGTTTATATACTTTAGCTCAGCAGTTCTACCTTTTGAAATGCACCCTATTAGCCATATGTAGGGATAAGATTTTTTTGTTAGTTCATCAAGTAACAAAAAACCCTGACTGCGGAGATGATATACTCTTTTTGGAAGTGGTGTTGAGTAGCTGCACATACGCGTCCTGGGTTCAGAGATGTTCCTTGTCTGTCCCTCTCCAGAAAATGATTCAGAGATGTCCCCTGCCCGCCCCCTCTCCAGAAAATCACTCCACCAAAGAGGCTCAGAGATGCACACCCTGCTTGCTAGGAACCACCATTTCCATGCTGTTGAAAGTCATAACCCACGGAACTGGCACAGACTTGCTTAGAAGCCACAGAATGCCTGCTGAGCCTCTGCCATACAAAGCAGAGGACCCCCACCACCAGCCCGCCTAGTGCACAGACCTCTGAGGCTGCGCTCTGCCTGGATGGCCAGCGAGGAGGCTGTGTCCATCTCCACAGCAAGTGCTTGGGGACAGTGGGGGCTCTAAGCAGGGGTATCGTGCCATCACGGGTCATCGCACAGTATGCCTGTGGTCGCTGCCACTACCCCAAGGTGCAATTTTACCTGAAAACACAGCCCTATCTTGCTACCTCACACTGCTATCAACTGGGCACACTGCCATGAAGAACAGGAAAAGGAGGAGGAAAGAGGAACATGGCTTCAGGCTTCCAGTGGACTCGGCCCATGCCGGCTGCCTTGCCCTGACGCCCTGTTACCTCCAGGGCCTTGGCACTCTGGCCCTCCCTCTGCAGGTGCCGGAGCTGCTCCTCCTCCAGTTGGCTCTGCAGGGCACGCCCCTTCCCCTGCTCACTCTCCAGCTCCTGAAGCGCGGCCTTCAGCTCGTTCTCCTTACTGCTCAGCATGGATCTGCGTGGAGACGTCACAGAACACTCTGACCACATGGGCGAGAGTGTGCTCCCGGGAGCTGGGAGCTCCAGCAGGGGAGGCAGAGCCCTGCCAGGTCGCGCGCATGTGCTTCACCCCCCACCACAGGATTATCAACCCAGGCACAGCAGGGCGTGGTGCCCCTGGGGCTGCCCAACTGCGGCCCACCAGAGGTTCTGTTTCCCTTCATCGTCAAGAAAACCGTGGCCACAACGGCGAGACTCCTGCCAGTGTCCAGGGAAGGTGGATCAGGCGCACCTCAGCTGGAGGACCTCCTGCTGCACCTCGCAGAGGGACCGGGACAGCCGTTCACTCTCCTGCCTGCTCTCACAGAGCTCGGACTTCAAATCTCGCACCACACTCTGCTCCGCCGCCAGGAGCTTCTGCACGCCGTTTGCTTTCTCTTGCTCTTCACTCAGCGTCTTCTGCAAGTCGCCAGCGATACACTTCTCCTGCTCTACTTTATAGACCAGCAGTTCAACTGAGAAAGACGAAAGAACAGAAACACAGGACCCCATGAGCTCCTCGTGCTGCACACGTGACACCTGGTCAGAGACAGACTTACGGGGACGTGGGGTTTATCTGCTTCGGGAAGAAAGGAGGTTCTGTGGACTAGAAGCTTTCATTGCGGGTGGAACCAGGATGCTCCATTCTGCCCTCTGGGCCCATTTCCTTCCGGGGCCCACCCTCCTGGCCGGGAGCACACAGAGTCCAGGGGTGATGTAGCCCTGGAGCCGTCCTAAAACGCCACCCCACCCCTACTCACACCCTAAACTGCCTCCAACAGAGGAACTCCAGGCCAGGTGGCTTTACTGGAAAATTCTCCCAAAGTTTAAGGAAGAAAGAACACCAATTCCACACAACGGAGGGTGGAGGGCTGCTTCCCAAATACTTCCACACCCCGTGGCACTGGCACTACCCAGCACCAAGACCAAAAGGCACAAAAGAAAACAGACCAGTGCCCCTCACGAGCACTCGGACAGCGCCAGCCTATCCCCCGCCCCCACGCCCCTCACGAGCAGTCAGACAGTGCCGCCCCCCACACCGTGCCCCTCATGAGCGCTCGGACAGTGCTGGCCCCAGCCCCAGAGAGCACAAAGGGCACAGGTGCTGGGACAAGGGCATGGGCTGAACTGCAAGGCCGTTCCCCTTGACAGAATCCAAGACTAGGAACAGAGGGCACTTCCCCGAGCTGACCAAGGGCGCCTGACCCCACATGCAAGGGTACGAGACCAGCTCCTGTCCCTAAAACTAAGAGCAGGGAAAGGCGCCTGCCCACACAGCACACGAGACAATGTGGGCAGGAAATGAAGAATCAATCGTTACTTATGCACAGATGACCTGAGAGTCTACATAAAAACTCCCGAAGAAGCTACATTAAATGTAGAAATCTAAAAGACAGTCCTGAACTCTAGTGTGAACTCCCAAGAATCTGCCAGCACTCAGAGCCCAACCCAGGCTCCTCTTGCCCACACCAGGCCCAGCAGTGAGGCCTCTGTGCTGGCCCCACTGGGTGCTGCCTGTCTCCAGGGTCCTTTCTGCTCAGTTCTATCAGCTGACAACCACGGCAACACTCAGGGGCTTGACCAGATGACGCCCTGTCACCACCCTCTGCTCCCAGGGCCACACAGGTGAGCGTCAGGTGGGCAGGTGCAGAGGCCGGGCCCCACAGGCAGCGTCGACAGGGGCACCCACCCTGCTTGCGCAGCTGGTGCTCCTGCTGGCTCCTACGCGCCTCTGCGCTGGTCAGGGCCGTGCGCAAGTGCTGCAGCTTCTCCTGGTTCTGCAGGTGCACCATGCGCAGCTGGGCGCGCAGAGCCTGGATCTCGGACAGCAGGCTGCTCCGGTCCGGCAGGCAAAGCTGCTCCAGGGACTTTTCCTGCAGGTCTCCCTGGGGGCAGAACGGGAAAAGCAGCCTGAGCACCGGGCGGCCACCCCATACCCCGGCCTTCCCTGCGGCCTGCCCTCTAACCCCGCTCCACCAGGGCAAGCCTACTGAGTCTGGGGTGGGTGCAGAGTAGCTCCTGGGCCTCAGCTCTGGGGCCTGCAGGCGTCAGGGCTGGGCTGCGCTACCCTGCGTGAGGCCTGCAAGCCAGTTACTCTCCACACTAGGTCTCCTCATGTGTACGCTGGCGGGGACAGGATTTACAGTGTCCCCGTGGCACCAACGCCACCCAGCCCTGCAAACAGAGCATCTCTCAACCCAGGAGGGGCTACTTGGAACAGAGAACGTTTCTTTAGCCGCTTATCTCAGAAGAGAGTGAGGCCGTGCACCACGTGCATCACGAGCACACCGTCCGGTTACAGCTGCAGGTGGAAAAGTGCAGCACCCTGCATGAACTGAGTGTGAACGCCTGGGTGAGCCACAGCCACATTCCAGCAGCCAAGAGAAACACGCAAACCGAAATTCACACACAAAACAGTCTGTGTCACCCTCTCTGCCGGGGCTGGACCCCTGGGGTAAACTAAGGCCTGGTGGCAGAGCTGATACTCACCTGCTCACTGATGACCTTCTCCAGCCTTTCAAGCGGGAAGCTGTGACCCCCCAGATCTGAGCCACTGAGTCGGGGCTGCAGCTCAACCCCCTGTATCTCCGGCTCTTTTTCAAATGCCTCCTGCACAACCTGCAGAAGCTCCCCTCTCCAATCAGGGCACACGGTGGGCACGTCCTAAAGGATGAAGGAAGAAATGTGGCCTCCTCACAAATGCACCTGCATGCTTGTGCCCCAAAGTTTGCAGTGTGACTACGTTTGGAGATGGGGCCTGCAGGAGGTGATTCAGGGTAAGTGAGGCCTCGTAAGAAGAGGAAGAGACACCAGAGCTCACTCGCTGTCTCCATCATGTGAGGACACAGCACGGAGGCACTGTCTGCAAACCAGGAAGGGCACCCACACCAGAACCCAACACTGTGGGCACCCTGATGCCACAACAGGCGCAATCAATGTCTGCTGTTTAAGCCCCTGGTCTGGGGTGTTCAGTGGTGGCAGCTGAGCAGACTGGCAGCCGTTCAAACAGAAATGACCCTGACAGAAGAGAAGACACACACTGAGTGGCAGGAGGAGAGGCCCTGGGGGACAAGTGCTGGCATGGGCCGAGTCCGCAGGCCCAAAAGTCCTGAGCCCTTCTGCCCCATACACACCTCCACGTCCCGCAGGGAACCTGCCCCCAGAGCCTGTGCCAGCTGTGGGAGACCAGGAGGCCTCCCCAGGGTTCTTGCACCTCAGTCTGTCTTTTTGGCCATGCTAAAGAAATCCTAGGCCAGGCATAGTGGCTCACGCCTGTAATCCCATCACTTTGAGAGGCCAAGGCGGGTGGATCACGAGGTCAGGAGTTCAAGACCAGCCAGGCCAAGATGGTGAAACCCCATCTCTGCTAAAAATACAAAAACTAGCTGGGCGTGGTTGTGTGTGTCTGTAATCCCAGCTACCAGGGAGGCTGAGGCAGAGACCCGCTTGACCTGGGAAGGTGGAGGTTGCAGTAAGCCGAGATTATGCCACTGCACTCCAGCCTGGGAGAGAGAGAGCGAGACTCTGTCTCAAAAAAAAAGAAAAGAAAAAATCCTAGTCTTCACGTGGCCCTAAGGATGCGGCTCTTACTGCAAGCTCCTTAAATCCTTTGGAAAAGAAGTGTGTGAGGTGCAGAACAAAACTGCGTCTTTCTCCCACAGAGCAAGTCTTCCTGTACCTTATCTCCCTTCCGGGGTGGGTGTGGCTCGCCAGTCAGGGGTGCAAGGCCTTCTGACAGTGCCAGGATCTGGTGGCTCTCGTCACACACCATCTGCAGCAAAGCCTGTGGTGGGAAAGTGTGTCAGGAGGAGAGAGCCGCCTGCCACCCCACACAGCCACGCTCTACATCACCTGCAGCCCTGAGCTGCAGTCAGGGCTCCGTGAAGGGTGGGCAGCTGTGGAGAGGGAGGGCATCACCTCGGTTTTGTAGAGGCAGCACCCACTTCTCAAGCTACAAGGTTTTCAAGCCCACCTCCCCCGACCTTCAGAGAGATCACACAGAAGCCAGGCTTGGAGTGAATTTCTCTATTAGCTGCTCCAAAGATGGCCCTGCCACTTCCTCCACTCCACCTGCTCC